GAGAGAGAGAGACAGAGAGAGACAGAGAGCACAGGCAGAGGGAGAGGGAGAAGCAGGTTCCCCATGGAGCAAAGAGCCCAATGCAAGGCTCGATCCCAGGACCCTGGGATCATGACCTGAGCCAAAGGCAGACGCTTAACCGACTGAGCCACCCAGGTGCCCCTATTCTCAATGTTGAATATGCATAACATTGGAAATGATTAATCAACAAATATTTTACCAATTACTCTTAAGAGAATATATTTTTACATTAAAAATTCTAGAAAACATTTTTTCAGTAATTCCCATATTACCTGAAATTTATTTAACAATAGTACCCACTATTAGTTAAAATTCATAGTATATTAGAGTTAGAATGAAAATATTTTAGGATTTTCTCTTGATCACTAAAAGCAAATCAATGGAATTACATTTCAATTTGATATGATTATTAGAATTGCTTACAATAAATTCTGAAAGCTTAAAATAGTACCTGATTTTTACTTTCTTTTTAACTTGCATTCAGTTGAATGCCTTTTAAGATTTATTTATTTTGGAGAGAGAGAGAGAACAAGCCAGGGGAAGGGCAGAGGAAGAGAGCATATGGAGCAGACTCCCTAGTGAGTGCGAAGCCCAAGGTGGGCTAGATTTCACAGCCCTGAGTTCATAACCTGGGCTGAAATCAAGAGTCCGAGGCTTAACTGACGGAGCCACCCAGGCGCCCCTCAGTTGAATGGCTTTTAATGTAATAGATTTTCATATGATTCTTAGAAAAGAATAATCTGATAAAAAATTTTGTAAAATGAAAACAGAAATAAAATGGTTTATAATATTTATGATGTTCCAATTTCTACATAACCTTTACTTTTTGGTGTGTGTTGTATACATAAATTTATGAAATAATTGCTGTGTCAATAACCTGCAAATAGCAAATAATCAGACATCATTATTTCAGATTTGTTGTTACAACTGATAAAATCATTCCTTTCTTTTTTTAAAGATTTGGAGTTTATTCATTCAAACCATCTGTTACTTATATAAAACCTGAGTTCTACCTGTAATCTGTTATCAGGTATAAAATTGACTTCAGCATTTTCTTTTAAATGCCTACAATTCCACAAAGCCTTGACATAACATATTTGTCCTTGTCCAGAAATACATACATTTTCCTAAAATTAATTTTTCATCACCAAGTTAATGACTTTTTGTGATAGCTTTATTATTTTCATTCTGATAAGTGATGTGATGATAGTCAAAAAGTTTAAGCATTAATCTTAATAATTAAAAAAATGACATGTTGGTAATTGGATTTTGAAATACTATTTTCACCTCGTATCCCCAAATAGATACCCCACATGTTAAACCACATCATCTAAAATTTGATCCCTGGCGTGCCTGGGTGGCTCAGTCAGTTAAGTGTCCGACTTGATTTTGGCTCAGGTCATGATCTCTCGGGGTCCAGCTGGCGTCAGACTCCTCGCTCAGCCGAGATTCTCTCTCTCCATCTGCCCCTCTTCCCCCACTTGCATGCACAGGCTCTCTCTCTCTCTTTCTCTGTCTCAAATCTTTAAAAATAAAATAAAATAAAATTTGATCCCGTAGTTTATTATATTTAATTGATAAACAAGATCTACTCCCAAGAATGTAATTTTTGTTTCCTGCTTTTTAGAAGCCAGAGCCTCTCTTAGATTTGGGAACAGAATATTTTCTACAATAATGATACAATTTTATGTATATGAAAAAGCAGATTTTAGAAATTTTTTATTAGAAAGATATTTAAATAGAAAGATTAAATAGAAAGATATTTTGAAGTCTAACATTTTTCTTCTTTTTGAAGTCTAACATTCTTAAGTTGATTTTGATTAAGTTGATTTCTCTTTTAGAATTTAAAATGTCATGAAAAATACTTTATAATAGTCTAATACTAATCAATACTCTGCAGTCAAGCCATTTGGAACTAACAATGTAAAAATAAATAATTTCCAATTTTTATCCTTAACAGTTTAAAAATGTCTTCTATTTTAATCATGTTACATAGTTTGCAAGGTATTTTGAATAATTGATTTCTTTCAGTCCTTATAATTCCACAAATTTTGTGGGTCTGGTGTCCTCGTCTTAATTTTATTTAAAAACAGGAACAGAAAGAAGAAACATTTCAGATTCAGCCAATGAGAAAGTGACAGATCAGGACTAGGTTCCAGTTGTTTTTCTACTGTGAAGAATGGCTTCACCATCCAGATCTATGCCATAAAATTACTTTGACATTTGGATATACATATGCCCAAATTTGTGGGAGAAATACCTATATAATTATTTTTCCCAAATTATATTATCACAGTGTTTCTTCTCTAAGTAGAATATTGCTATGAAAAGTGTTTTCCTCTCTATTTAATTAATTTTACTTTTCACAAACCCTGTCACATTGGGGAATAGATTGCCCATATTGGGTAAATGAAGTTAACAGACTGAGCTTACCACATAGAATCAGTGGTGAAGTCAAGATTAGAATTCAGAGCTCAGTGTTAGAATTCAGAGCTGAAAGAGCTACTAATCATTTCTACTTATATCCAGAACAAGAAAAAAAAATCATAACAGGCAAATGTAATTCAATTCACTCTAATAATGAGCAACTATGTAAACATAATAAAACTGCATAAAATTAATACATTTGATATTGCCTCTTTAAAATCTAAATATAAAAATGTTAAAATAAGAAAAACTGACCAAAGGAGACATTAAAATTATCCTAAATCCATTAAATCAAAACTTCTTGAGGTGGGTCCTGGTCACTGGTAACTATAAACATCTCTCCAAGAGAATCTCATGTGCAGCCTTGGTTGGGAACCATGGGGTGAAAGCAGAGGTGAGGAAGATGGAACCGAAGCCAGGCACAGGCATTGGACACGGTCCCACCCAGAGCCGAAGATGGCAGTGAACGTATATTCAACATCAGTCGCCAATGATAACCTAAGTCGACATGACATGCTGGCCTGGATCAATGAGTCTCTGCAGCTGAATCTGACGAAGATCAAACAGTTGTATTCAGGAGCTGCCTACTGTCAGTTCATGGACACGCTGTTCCCTGGCTGCATTGCCTTGAAGAAAGTGAAATTCCAGGCTAGGATAGAACATGAATACATCCAGAACTTCAAAATACTACAAGCAGGTTTTAAGAGAATGGGTGTTGACAAAATAATTCCTGTGGACAAATTAGTAAAAGGAAAGTTTCAGGACAATTTTGAATTTGTTTAGTGGCTTAAGAAGTTTTTTGATGCAAACTATGATGGAAAAGACTATGACCCCGTAGCTTCCAGACAAGGTCAAGAGACTGCAGTGGCTCCCTCCCTTGTTGCTCCAGCTCTGAACAAACCGAAGAAACCTCTCAGCTCTAGCAGCACAGCTCCACAGAGGCCCATTGCAACACACAGAAACACTGCAACCCCTAATGCTGGCCCGGGTGTGGTGCAAAAGAATCCTGGTGTGGGCAACGGGGATGACGAAGCAGCTGAATTGATGCAGCAGGTCACCATATTGAAACTTAGCGTCGAAGACTTGGAGAAAGAAAGAGATTTCTACTTTGGAAAGCTAAGGAACATTGAATTGATTTACCAGGAGAACAAGAGGGAAAACAACCCGGTATTGCAGAGGATTGGGGACATTCTGTATGCCACAGATGAAGGCTTTGTGATACCTAATGAGGGGGGCCCACAGGAGGAACAAGAAGAATATTAACAGCCTGGACCAGCAGAGCAACATCTGAATTCTTCACTCCAAATCATGTGCTTAACTGTAAAATACCCCCTTTTATTATTCTTAGAGGACTCACTGGTTTTTTTCATGAGCAAACAGTACCACTTAAGTGCACTTTGCAGAAGTTTCACCCCTTTTCCAATGAGTTTGACTTAGGAGCTTTTACCCTGTAGCAGAGCAGTATTAACATCTAGTTGGGTCACCTAGGGGACAAAGAGCCTGACCATGGGGCTCACGGTGTGGATGCTGGTAACACTGATTGCTGGAGAAGGTGTTTTTATGTGATACACTGAGGTGGAGACCTCAGCAGAGAAATGTAAAGACTGATTTGAATTTTAAGCTAATGTGAAATCTTGGCAGAGAACGTTTTAATAAATAAATGCCTTAAGAGTAAAAGAAAGCAGAAATGAGCAAACTTTTTCTGTAAGGGGCCAGATAGTAAATAACTGAGGCTTTGCTGGTCATATAGTCTCTGTCCCAACAGCTCAACTCTGCCATTAATGTGAAAACAATCATATGCAAGATGTAAACCAATGAATGTGGCTGACTTTCAATACAACTGTATTTGTGACACTGAAATTGGAATTTTATATAATGTTAATTTGTCTGAAATAGTACTTAAAAAATTTTTTTTCAACTATTAAAAAAAGAAAACTGTTATTATGGAATATACTAAAATGGCTGGGTCAGATTTGGCCCCCTGGCCATGGTTGCCAACTTCTATTCCCTAGAAATCCAATTAACCACTCACTCTGTGTGTTTGACTATATTTTATATACTCTAATTATGGATTTTATACTATTCTATTACATTCACTTGTCTTTGTTCTCAGTGACCAGCGTAATATGTGGAACTTGAAAGGTATAGCAAATAAATAAATAAATGAATGAATGAATACATGAGCTATATCCATGCAACCAGAATTGCCCAAGAAATTATTTTGTGCCTTCTCAATCGATAAATGTTCATCATTTAAGTGGAGATTGTTGGCAGAATACCATCGTTTTTCACTTGACATATTTACTTGACAAATATGGTCTGTATGGTTATAGACATAGTCTTACAAACCAAGAGGAAAGCTATATTTACCTTTGCATGGCGTGGTCTTAGGACCTTTGTGTTGTTTACAACTTTTCAGACAAATACGGTTTTCTTAAAATTATATAAACGTACATATCTGTGAACCTTTCTTAGTGGGGTCTTTTTTGCTGGGTGCCTTGCCTTTTGGCAATTATAGTGCTACATGTTGCCTCTTTGTGTTTTCTGTGAAGCTAGAGAGATTGCATGCTGAAAATATCTCAGAGTGGGACAAGAGGGAAATACTTGAAACACAGAAACAAGGACTGGAAAAAGAAAATAGAAGGCTAAAGGCTCAGGTGAAAGAAATGGAAGAGCTCCTGGATGGGAAAAACAGATTCAGTGCAAACTCTCAAAGTCCTGATTTCAAGACATCACAAATTGAACGGCAGGAAGAAAAAAAGGTATGGGTGCTCCTTGGAAGGGATGTTCTCACTCGCTATACATGCCCCCCTGATGCTTGGTCGATGCTGCCTTCCCTTTTACCCACCTCCAAATCTGAGCATTTTCTTTTGTGCTATTTAACCTCTGATCTCTTGCTCTCTTTCTCATCATAAGGTAGAATAACATTGTTCATGACTATGAACACAAGAGTTTAACAAATTTTGTATGAAAATGTTAGAATAGGACAAATCTGACAGTTTGAAGTTTTCCAGAAGGAAGAAAAAAGTGAAGGGATGGACCTTTGTGTTTTTTGTTTCCTTTTATACTTTTGTCTCAGTATTTTTCAAGCAATTGATCTTATTTCTCAATAAGTAAATTTCTCCATTAGTTTGAACAGCTGTGGAATAAGCATTTGTCAGTAGTCATAGTATCTGCATAAACATTTCAATTTAGCTGAAGTTTACTCTCCTCTGGTTCTTTTTTAGTTTCAGAAAAATTATTTTTGAGTCAAATCATTGCATCATGTTGCAAATAGCTTTTATAGGCTATAACATAAATATTAAAGCTAGAATTAAATTCAACGTCTGACTTTGAGAACTTCAGGTTTTTGGAATTGTTTTATCCTAAGGCCAATAGACATTATTCCTGCTATAGATGGAATTTTTAAAAATAAATAGCTTTTCGATTTAAAAAATAATCTCTTAATGGCAGTTGCAATTTGTGTGTTTTGGTGTCAACATGCTGCAAAACATTTACATCTTGTTTCTATTTCTTCCATTAAAATACCTACAGTATCTTAATGCACAATTCTGTTATTTCACTCAATCTCTTTAATAGTGAATTAAAAGTGAGTTTGATAAGTTCATATTTTTATTTTATTTTTTAAACTTTTAGCTAAAATGTTTTATTTTTTTTATTTTATTTTTTTTT